CTGTCGGCGGGCCATCTAGGAGGAAGAGGGGGAGGAGGAGGAGGGAGGAGGAGGAGGGGAGGAGGAGGAGGAGGAGGAGGAGGAGGAGGAGGAGGAGGAGGAGGGAGGAGGGAGGAGGAGGAGGAGGAGGAGGAGGAGGAGGAGGACGAGGAGGAGGAGGAGGAGGAGGAGGAGGAGGAGGAGGAGGAGGAGGAGGAGGAGGAGGAGGAGGAGGCGGAGGGGAGGGGGAGGAGGAGGAGGAGGAGGAGGAGGAGGAGGAGGAGGAGGAGGAGGAGGAGGAGGAGGAGGAGGAGGAGGAGGAGGAGGAGGAGGAGGAGGAGGAGGGGGAGGAGGAGGAGGAGGAGGAGGGGTGGGGCCCTCAGGACGAGGTGCCTTCTGCAACGTGAATCCGCCCTTGGATCCCTTCCTATCCCCAGCAGGTCCTCATCCCTCGGGCCCCCCCCCTTGCACCACCGAGCCCGGGGGGGAAACTCCGCCACCACGCCGGCCGAGAAGCTGACCTCTTGTACTATGGGCAGCCCTACACAGGCCCGCGCGCACCCAGTGCTGCGCAGAGCCAGCCCGCATCATGAGGATGCGCGGCAAGGATGCAAAGGGCCATTGGAAGGCCGTGTCGACACTCTGCGAGCGGGGCGCGGCCAGCGACAGTCGCTGAGGATGGGCCGAGGGGGCAATGATGCAAGGGTGCCCTTGGGAAATTTGCCGATCCTTGCTATGCGGGGTGACTCGACCCGTCCGGTTCGGCGCCACCGACAAGGTCGAACAATCTGGGGGGGAGGCGGGCGGGCCTGATAACCCGGGTTGTCGCCGGACCCTGAAGAAAACAGTCTCTTAGAATGCCAGGTGCTGCTCTGCAGGGTGTTTGTACTCTCGTACTGGAGGAAAGAGAACTATGCCAGGAAAGCATATGCACTGGGTCAAGGATGGGCCTTGCCAGGATCGGTGCATGTGCATAGTTCTCTTCGCCCGATCATAAGGGACCCCCCCCTCTCTCCCAAGGCAAGTGGCACGAATTGTGGCACGTGACGGCCTCCCGTGCCCGCTAGAACAGTCGCCACCCAGAATGCTGGTCTGGTGCCATGGCGGGACTTGCCGCAGAGGCCTCGCGCGGCAACTTGAGTCTCAGTTCTCGGCGGTGTACAAACCTCCCTGTAGTAAACCTCCCTGTAGTGAAAACGGCCTGGGACCGAAACCGACGGACCTGAACCCGCAAACATGACGGCCGCGACGCCCTCTCGCGAACCGAAAACGGCAAATTCCTGAATCGACGCGTCAGGGCAGGAGGTCTGTCCACTCCCGAAGCTCACGCCGAACCAGCGTCGGGTGCAGGTCGGCACTGCGCCGGCCGGAGCTCTGTCGGAACCTCGCCGCGCGAACGTCGCCTCCATGTCTGGCGGGGAGCGGACGTGCGGACGAGACGCTGTAAGCACTGCGCGGCGCGTGAGGCCCCCACAGGGTGTTCCTCGCAGTGCACGGGGCGTGCGCACGGTTGCACGCCGACCTGGCGCGGCAGCCTGCCCAGGCCGTCAGCACGGCACGCTGCCTCGGAAACGGGGGCGCTCGCGCGCGGCCTCCACGCGGGCAGCTTTCTGCGCGAGCGTCGGCGCAGTCGGCCCCGTGTCCTTCCGTCGCACACCTGTGGGGAAGATCGAACGGCTCGTTTTGCCTGAATTTCGGCATGCGGGATGCGGGCGCTGCTTGCGTGCCCAGGGAGGTTGTTGTTTTCCCAGCCCTCCTGCGTTGGGTTCTCGTTTTGACGCGAGCGCTGTGGTATCCACTCCCTCCTCCTCCTTCTCCTCCCCCCTCCTGCTGCGCTGCTACCTGGGTGGCTGCGACCTGGGCAAATGTCGCCACTTCTGTGCGCTCCTGGAGCACGGCGAAATAGGGGAGTGCGCGCATCCGGCCGAGAACTCGCGGCTCCCTGGGTGCCTGCGCACTGCGCAACTGGCGCCGCTTCCGTGGGCGGCGTGCGCGCACCCGGCCGACAGCCCGCCCCTCCCCGGGTGGCCGCGAGCTGCGCAGAGGTCGCCACTTCCGCGGGCTCCTGGGAGGCCCCGCGGAGCGGGAGAGCACCCAGACCGAGCCGAGGCCTCGCGGCTCCGTGGTGGGCTGCGAGGTGCGCAGTTGTTGCCACTGTCGTGGGCTCCTGGGAGGTCCTGCGGAGCCGAGTGCCACTGCAACGTGCTCCTTCGTGTGGAGCGCTCCTTGGAACTGTCGACTCGCATCGAGGACGGGCTGGGTACGTCTCGGGTAATTCTTACCTCCTGTGACGGTCGACACCCAAAGGGGGGGTTGCGCTTGGGCTGGGTGGGGCACATCGGGGCAGGGGTGCGCTGCGATCGCCGTAGCATGCGTGCGAGCACCGGTGTGCGTGGTGGGGTGGGGGTCTGGGGAGTACGAGCCTTCCTGGTATACCCAGGGCTGCGGGGGGCTGTCTCTTCGGGCCCAGGGCTCATGCAGCACGAGTCCAGGATGCAACTCTGCGCCGGAACGCCCAAAAGCCCAGGTTCTTCGATTTGGCGGCGCGCACGCGAGGTAGCGCGAGGTGGCCTTTTAAGGAGGCGGGGGACCTCCTTTGGGTGTTGCCAGAAGTGTTCCCAGCCCACGGTGCCCCCCTGGCCATCGCTCGGACGTCCATTCCCTGTGCTTTTTGTCGATTTCGTGCGTGGCTTTTTCGCCAAACGATCGAGGATGCTCCTCGATGGTCCTCGATGCCAAGCCCCAGGCTTTCAAAGGATGCCCCCGCAGGCTCGAGAGCAGCCTCACGAGGCACGGAGGGCCCCAGGGGATCCAGGATTGAGCGAGAAGCTGGGGGCACCTCGGCTCGGGCCAGGGGCACCCCGAGCAAAGCCCCCCCACCCCTAGGCGGCAGGGGCCCTCTTGGAGGGGCCCGAAGATCTGGAGGGGCCCAGGAACACACAAGTAAACAGGCACAAGTCCCAGGAGTCCCTGCATTTTCCTGGATTTTTCTGGGTTTTCGTCTCCCCCCCTGCCCCATATGTTCTTATATTTTCCTGGGGGTCGTCGATTCATTGTGTCTGTGTGTGTGTGTGTGTCTTCCCCCTGCTGGAGATGCTAAGGGGCCGTGTCAGACGGCCACCTCGCGCCAGCCCCGCGGCACGCGTCGCCGCTCGATCTTCGAACGACGCAAGGAGCGCTCGTCTCTGCAGGATATCCTACAATGGAAGCCCGACCACAAGAAACCTTCCACGAGAAACCCAACCCTGAGACCCCAGGACGTCCCTTGATTTTTGGCGTGGGAACGTCGCGCTTCCCATGGCAAAACCATCGAAACCCAAAAAACCCAGGGCACCCTGGAGGCAAGCAGGGTGTTTCTTGGCATGGGCCACCACTGTACGGGCATCGGGTCACCGACCCCTATCCCCGTTGGCGTGGCCTGGGACCCACTGGCTGATTTGCCACCACATGTGGGGATAGAGGCAGTTTCCCTCGGGTTTCGATGGGTACATATCCCCAACTAGGATGCCGAGATGGTGGGGGTCCAGATGGGGCTGGGGATAGGGGTCGGTTGAACGATGCTAAACAAATTGAAACAATGGCGGTTTTCCCGCCCAGCTCGAAGCCGCTCAAAATCGGTCGTCGGACCACTCCCAGGGTCCGTCCAGACCTGTGTTTTCACGTAACCTGGTCTATCATGGGGACGTGTCTGTGTAGTGACCGCAAATGTACCCAGAAGTCTGCCAGGGCGTGCCCGCAACCGGCGCCCGATGTGTGCTGGCCGCGCCCAAGTGTGACCGAGATGCTTGATGTGATGCCAATGCGTTTTTTTACATTTCGGCCACAACTTCGGCATTACCGCGTTTTCAATCACACTTTCGGGCGCGTTTTCGATTTTTGTGACAGGCGCCCGGAACCCAAGCCTCACCTCAGGTGAACGATGAGGAACATACTAATTAACCCGACGTTGCGGGTCAATCAGGGCTTACTGAAAATCATTCATCTGGCGAGAGATCTCCCTCTTCGCGAAGCGACTTGCGAACCAGCAGGTCAGGCTCGGCCCGAGCGCCCGTGCCATATTCACTCGCTTCAGCCAAAGGTGCCGAACACTGCGCAGAAAAACCAAAAACGCCAGTGGCCTTTGGATGTCTACCCTGACGGAGCGCCCTCAAAACAGAGGCCGCATATTTACTATTCCTGGACCCTTCGGGTTCAGCTTGCAGATCTTGCGAAGCTTCTCGAAACGGCCGCCGCAGCGATGCCCGCAGCGCAAATGGCAAACATACAGCATGCTTGAATTGGAACACTGAAGGGCCGTGATCTGGTGGCCTCTCTCTCTCTCTCTCTCTCTCTCTCTCTCTCTCTCTCTCTCTCTCTCTCTCTCTCTATATATATATATATAGGATGGCGGGGGCCACTTCGGGAGGCTTGCCAGAGCACCCCAAAACACTGGGCTTCAAATCTTGGCGGCGGGAACGAAACAAGTCGCGCAGCGCCAGAACGTGGCGCGCCAGATCCACCCATGATGAAAATGCTCCGCACGAAGGGGAGGCGGGGCCACTTCTTTGCTAGGAACTATATATTCGACCTCGTCAAGATCGCGCTTGGGCCAGCATGGTAAGATCCGGGCGGCGAGACGCGATGAATTCTTGGCAATCTTCAACTGCCAACCGACACTGTTAATCTCAATTTCAGACCCGCAAGGTTGTAGGCAGGCACCTCGCTCGGCGGCCCAGTTGATCAAGAGTTAAATCGGGGGAATCCGTTACATGTGCCTTCACTCTGTGAAGGTTGGCCAACTTAGAACTGAGCGCGTTGATCATGGGCCCTGCGTGGGGCCGTTTATAGGAAAGCCGCTTGGCCCTGTCCTTGAGGAGCGCTTTGCACGCGTTGGGGCGATCGCTGTAGCCTTCCGAAGGCCCCAAAAGACAACGCGAACCATCGGCTAAACTACTGAGCTCAGCCGCGTGGGAGGTCTGGGGGGACCTGTCCCAAGGGGTAGCCCGCTTACTGCATTGACAAACCCGATCAGAATCGTGCGC